TTTATTGTCTGTTCCATTATGGATAAGTTTTGTTTTGATAAAGTTTCACAGTGTTACACAGTAATGCTTACTGATGACGTTTCAAGCACAATTTATTGCTCATAATCATATCAAGGTAATCATTTATATAGTTCCGCTGTTTTTCACTTGATTTAATTGGTAGTAATATTTTCCATATTTCCGGTATGAGTGATGAGTCATTCCTATTGCATGTGTTGGGTGTAGATTCGATGAACAAAGATTCAGTAATCAACCTCTTTCTCCACCTACCTATATTACTTCTTAGAATTTTAACCCTCGCCCACCCTATTGTGTGGTTGTGTGCTAATGCATGCATTGCAATTGCTGAGCTTTTTTCTAAATTACTTATCTTCTCGGGGTCAACCATTCTTACCTTAGCTAAATTCTTATATTCCGACAATCTGACTACCCCTGACCTACTAGTTTGACCTATGTAGTTGACCTCACAGTCATTGCAGGGTAATTTGTAAATTATATTATTTTGTCTAATTGGGTCAACTGGGTCCTTTAACCTGCAGGGCTTGTCTTCCCTGAGTGAGTTTATAGGTTTGAATGCCACCCTAATTCCTGCTTTATTAAAAATCCTACGTAGGGCCTCAGATGTCCCCTCCTTTTATGGTATAAAAGAGTAGATGCCTTATATTCTCTCTTATTTATGTTATTATTACTAGTTTCACAATTATTTTTGTTTTGCTTTTGGCCTCTTCTAATCTTCCTAATGAATTTTATAGGATATTAATTTGGTACCAACGCTTCTTCTATCTGTTTTATTTCATCATTTGGGTTTTTTTTTGTACTACTTAATGCTATTGCTCGGTTTGTTAAACACTTAACTAAGCCTGCCTTAACAGTTAACGGATGAGCCGAATTAAAATCGAAATAACTATTAGAATGCGTTGGTCTTCTATAAACACTAATGTGAAGTTTACCTTCTTCTACTCGTTTAATTTTACAATCTAACATTACAGCTAATTCTTCTTGTTCATCTTCCGATTCCAATGTGAATTTTATTCCCCTTACTAGTGAGTTAATATGTGTCAAGAAGCTAGAGATATGTTCTGGTTTTAACACAGTGAAAGTGTCATCCACATATCTCCGCCATATTTTTGGAGTAGGATTAAACGTATTAAGAGCCTTTTTCTTATATTAATTCTTATTCTGTATTCTTATATCAATTTATTGTCTGTTATCTGATCAAGAACATGAAACTCTGGAAACGAATCATTCAAGGACCTATTACTCAACAAATATGCAGAAGATGGATCGGACACACGATGAAGAGACTGTTAGGTGACATGGAGCGCCAGGCCATCGTTCTAGTGAAACCCGAATGGGAAACGACGAGTGGGGCGACCGAGGGTGACATAGAGGGGGAGATGAGAGCTTATAGATAATCGTGGGACTAGCTAAAGAGGATCGCAGAGAATAGGATAAAATGAAGATATGCTGTTGAAGTCCTATTTGCCACTAGGAACCTAAGGGAGAAATAATAGCTTGACCACTAAAACAAATGTTTTGATTTTAAAAACTCAGGACAAAGTGATTATTATGAGATCATATACTTTCTGCTTACATTCATATGCAGTCATACAAATACTTAAAATAACTCATGATTAGGATAGGATTAACTCTTCTGAATGTTGGTATACGTCAACGATCTCTAGTCGCATCCATTATTGTCATTATTAGTTGAAGTTAATGTTAGTTAATACCATAGCAAAACCAACGTGAAATGGAATATTTATTAACTTTCGAAGTGATGCCTACCTATTCATCAGAAAGCAGAGTATACATATTAAAATTGTTAGCTAAGCATACAAAGAAGACTGAGGTTAAGATTTTATACCTACCTTAGTAATATACCTAAGCCATTCATAAACCTGACTGATTGGTTTAAACATACAACTTTGCACAGATGTGCAGCAGTTCGAGTTGCCACTATCGCTCCATGTAGCACCCAAAGCAAGAGAAGAAAGATTCCTCAAAAGAGATAGTGAACATAAGTGAGTGAGGGAAAAAGAATAGTAATATGGAAAAACAATAAAGTTTTATTGAATATGACAAATCACAAAGAATGAATGCATCTCCGCCATTGGGGACGATTTCGAGCCGTATCCCCAAATATCTCCAGCCATTGTTTCCTAACATCCTGAGGACGCCAACCAGGAAGTTAACACCTCTTTATGTGACCGGCTCAAATGAACTGTTAGAGATTTCATGGGAGGATTCCAGATTTTGGCTTGACCACTACTAGATCTTTTCTAGCCTGATACTATATCAGCAAAAATTAACCATTGAAGAAGACGATGGCTAGGCATGAGTAACACATATCGATCGATGTAGTTTCACCTCATTGATTTACTTTCAGAGACTCACGCAATCCTTCGAAGTGAAGACTGGAGTAAGACAAGGCTGCCTACTGCCTCCAATGATTTTCCTGATTGAGGTAGACTGCATAATGCGACAGACAGTGGGAAGTGAGGAAATAGGCATAAAATGAACTAACACAAAAAACTTGGATGATCTGGACTTCACCGATGATGATTTATGTCTGATTTCCCACAAACTGGAAGATATGCAAGTGAAAAGCAATAAGTTGGCGACAAAAGAAGAAGCATCAAAGATAGGACTTTCCTTCAGGTGAACATAGAGAAAACAGAGGTGATGAAGATGCCTGGCCAACAGAAAGATGGGAGGAATCTGAAAGAAGTAATCTACCTACCTACCTGGGAAGCATCGTTCCAACTACAAGCGGACGGAACTGATGAGGATATAAAAGCACGGATCAGTAAAGCAAGGCAGGCTCTTATTACTCTCGTCTGTGTGGAGATCAACAGCACTGACTCAGCATGAAAATGAAAATAAGATCCGGATTTTCAACTCCAATGTGAAGTCAGTGCTACTTACTATAAGGATGAGACTGAGCGCCGCGTCACGAAGGGCACTTCAAACAAAGTACAAACCTTCATCAACGGCTTTCTTCACTCAGTACTACTCAAGATCAGATGACCGACCAGAAATTATCAGCAACAGGGATCTCTGGGAGCGAACCAACTGTGAAACAAATAAGCAGGAAGAAATGGAGATGGATTGACCATACTCTGAGAAAACCATCAAGTGACATCACAAGACAAGCCCTCGTGTGGAACCCGAACGGGAAGCAACGAGTTGGTCGTCAGTGCGAGGTTGGGGTGACATGGAGGAGGTCATGTGAAGAGATGAAAGCATATGGGTGGACGTGGAGCCAGGTGGAAACGTTGGCAGAGAACCGAAAGCAATAGAGACGTATGGCTGAAGCCCTGTGTTCCTCTAAGAACTAAAGGAAACAATAACAATTTTGATTTACTTTCCCTCCTTACGTAACACTCGACCGAAGCCTAACCTCAATATTACTCACACTATTATTTTACCTAACACGGGAGATAGAGCGCAAACATCTATGATCAAAGACAGCTGGCCTTTTCATATCTTTCGCTTCGAATGACCATATCTCGTAGCCATAAAGGAGGATGGAGGGGACTACTCAGCAGTACACACTTCACTTTGATCAAAAGCCAGGTATCACGTCTGTGCAAGAGATGAATTAAGTTGGCAAATGCCACATGAGGCTTTTGTATTCGTGCTGAAATTTAGTCAGCAATCAGCTGATGCAACTTCCCAAATAAGTGAAGTGGTCAACACGCTCTACCACTTCTCTCCCTATTTTGACGCTAGGAGTCGGAGCAGTCTAGCCTTGTAGCATCATCTCACTTTTGACAGGATTAAATTACATGCCAGACATTAGAAAACTGATGTTCAAGGTGTTCACCTGAGAGGAATATATCATCCGCATATTCTAAGTCAATCCCTGAGGGTTAAGTCCATTAGTACATCTATGATGAAAATAAACAGAAATGGAGACAGTGGATATCCCTGACGTACACCTCTGGCTGTTATCCCTTCAAATGACAACTCTCCTTGAGCCCTTACCTGGCTGCATGAGTTCGAGTAGAGTACCTTGATTAATGCAATGTACATACTCGGCACTCCCTTCAGAGCCAAACACTGCCATAGTACATCTCCATCGACGGAGTCGAACTTTGTATTCAGGTCAAGAAATATGGCAACCACTGGACGCCGATACTTTCTGGAATCTGTCAGAGGGTGAAGATATGATAAATACCTTTCTTCCTGGTTCTCTCGTGTTTCTTTCTCAACTCGTAAACCAGATTATCAACATACAACTAAAAGCGATGTTTGACTTAGTTCTGAGGTAGAGAACACATATCTACACACGTTTATTGACTGTTACACAAATTATAACCTTCATCTGTTATCACAAAGATCCTTCAGCGAAAACCTGGTGGTTAAACTGGCATACATATCTCTAAAGATAAGTCTTCAAAGTTATTCGAATTCTACGCATCAAATGTTGTGGCCTCCTTATAATAATTTAAAAATCTAAAGCAAAAGATTGACTAACTGAATTTCAACATAGAACTTTGCACAGAAGTGCAGCAGTGCAAGTTGCCACACTTCCACGAAGTACAGAAAGGTAGAAAAAAGGATTCAAAACGACTATAATTAGCGAAAATGTTAGGGAGAAAGAATAGTAACATGAAGAACATTAGGGATATGGGGAATCAGAAAGAGTGAATACATTTCCGCCATTTGGGAACGGTTTTGAGCCATATCACTAACAGTCTCGAGATACCGAGTCCCGAGGAACCAAGACAGGCAGTTCACACACCTTCCTACATTGGCTAAGACTAACTATCAAATATTTCATGGACTGATTCCAAGTTTTGGTTCGACATAAAGCAAAAGAAACTGTATCTAAGCATGAGGGTGGTAGTGGAATAAACCGAAAACCCAGCAGTATCAATTCCTTGCCTCTCCCCCCACCCCCAGCATAAATATAATGTAAATAATCGATAAAATAATGGTGCTAAAGTAAAACCTTTATTCATCCTATACGCGAAAACAGTTTAACAAATCTTAAGAAATGACAAACACTGATTAACACACTTTATCCCCAAAAAACGTATATTTATTATCCCATCAACAAAATGAATAGATAACAATACATTCGATTATTTATTTCCCTTACTGCTACACACACATATATATCATGAACATGAGATATAGTTTATGCTTATTGATATACGAAAAATTGTCTGCATAACTTGTTGTTGTCGTCTGAGCTAATTGTCGCCGATGGAAGAAATAGTCTATGTACACAAATACTCACACTCATAAGTTAACTTATACAATCAATCATTTTTTAATCAAGTGCCAACGAATGCACAAACAAACAAACAAACAAAAAAACGTGCATGAATTAACAAAATATACAATTTTTAAAAGTATGAATTAATTGAAGAACATTTTGATCTTGTTGAATAGGGTGAAAACACGAAACTCTGATTTGACAAAAAAAGAAACAGAAAAACAAACAAAGATGATAGATAGTGGAGGGGGCCGGGTGAAGGAAAAGACGAAAGAGAAGAAGGGAAAAACAGGAGGAGGAGGAATATGAAGAAAGAAAAAACAAACCAGTAGATAAACACTATATTCTAAGATCCGCAAAGTGTTTCTCAGCTAGTTGTAATATATCTTTGGTTGAACTGGAAACAATCTCCTGTAACTGTACTTCAGTATAAGCAGAAGACATAGCCTCTGAAAGGTGGGAAAGGAAATGTAATGAAAAGCTGTTAGCTCTTTTTAAAACAATAAAAAAGTAGATTACATAAACATTTATGTCGAATGTAAACAATATCTACACAAATGAATACAATACATGTTTATGATTAACTAATTAAAAACAATACACTATAAACGGAGATGAAATAAACTTGAAAACTATTCAGCCTACGAGATTCAGAACTTTATTGTCTAGTTTTAATATAGGAGGAGGATAATCTGGGAATAGATGATAACACCTCGTATAGAAGAAAAAACACAGTGACGGGTTCTTGAATAGTAAGCAGTAGTAATAAGCTTTAATCATTTTCAAGGGGAAGGATTAGCAAATTACACCTATAATAATCACTGACTGTAAAGAACAGAGCTAAGGACAATTTCCGAAGTGGAATTATGTGATTGCATAATGTCCACATCTATAATTATAAATACATAATCACGCAACAATAGATGCAATGTTCAATAGTCCACAATGTGTGACGATAAACAATGCGAATGAGAGAGTATCAAAATACAGTATAATATTAAAGTAAATACTGAATTAAAGTATACGGTGAGGGACCTGGATAAATGTGTTGCGAAATCTCGTACACAATGAAATGAAAAACAAAAATTTAAGACAGTTGGGCGGAAATACCCTGGATGAGAAAAATGTATGATAGATGAAATGTCTGGAGCTTTAAATATGCTTGGTTGCTTTTAAGACATGACAGAAATTTTGCCACTTTTGGCTCTGAAGACAATAGGAACTGTAATCTTGCTTTTAGAAAATTGGAAACAGCACAACCACGTACACTGTATCTATTCTGATCTGAGCAACTATACTATTTTGGTCCACTTAGCAAAAAAAACACCTACGCGTATCATCATTTCCACCTCTAAACATTCTCTTATTGTTTTGATCTACAATGAAAACGTGCTTCTGGTTTAAGTTAAATAAGGTTACAGGGAAGTGACGAGTGGCTGGATTAGGATCAGGTACCTGTGTATGAAATCACTGACTGTTGTTCTAAGTGATTTACGTCGATTTAGTTTACCTTGCTGGGTGGGATCTAGTTGATCACAAACTTCAAGGAACATGGCTAAAAGTGCATTATATAGACTCAATTGAATTGGTTTGTTTTTTAGCACTCAGCAGCCATCGGTTATTTTATCTTTTGATATCCTTTCCATTAAATAAGGAGACGTATGTTGCAACAACTTGGATGCATGAACAGTTATGTTACGTTAGATGTTAATAATGTCTCTGACTATAATCAAAAGTATTTAGTTGTGTATACCTTGATGGTAGAAATGTTAGTACAAATGCAAGCTGCTCTACAAGCACAGTGCACTTACAAAACTCAGTGAAAGCCAAGCGAAATAGAGAATAATATGATAGCCTTTGGGGATTTAGTCACGTGTCTTACGTCCTTTCAAGCATATTTACTTCCATCATGCATACTAATTATGAGAAAGTGAATAAATTATACCTTCTCTGTGTAGACTTTTCACCTACATTAAACAACTTGCAGTTAGAAGCTAGAAATTGTCTTGTTACAAAAGACTACGCTGAGTGAGGGTAACATGAACTGTACATATTTTTACATTGTACACATGGTAAAGAGGACGATGATACCAACAAACTGATTAAGAAGCGTGTGGGTGTTTTTTTGAAAGTAGAAGACTGAAAATTATAAATAAAAACACTTACCAGCTATAGCTGAACTAGTTTCCGGAGAATACCATATAGTTAATATAAACTTCAAAGAAGCTTTAGGCCTTCTTTGACAACTAAGACAATAACTATTTCTTTTGCGATATTCATAATCAGAATCCGATGTTGAACTTGAATGCATACTGCCGTTAATTACTTCGGCACATTTATTAGGTGAATATGAACAAACTTCAGCAATCGGCTGACCACCTTCCATGAATTTTTATAATCGACTATGAATTCTCAGCAGAGTGTATTAGGTAGCTAATAAGTACATGCTATTAGGGTTAAAAAAAACAAAAAAATTAGTTGGTTAGTTGAGATGGGAAGAACAAACAAAAGGAAACTTCAATTAATTTGTCAAGTGGTGAAGAATTTTATGACACTATCACTTACTTTCCTATCTTTCCTTCGCTTACTTTCGCATAATTACTTCTGTCCTAGTGGAAGGCATGGAAGCTTAGGGATATAGTGGCAAAATTCTATATCATGCTGTTTATTGTGATGAGTATACTAGCATTTGATGCGTGAATAACATCTATGTAGCACCATTGTAAACCAGGATTTTCTGTTGCTTCATGATCTTCAGTAGTATGCACCCATAACCCCACCAGGTTCCGACTCAAAAACCTTCGGGTTATTAGCTGAGCAGATTTACCATTCAGCCATTGGGTTGCAAATCCATGTTAGTTTGACATATAGCGCCACCGTCAGGTCATGGAACAGATCAGATCCCTACAAATCACATATCTGTTTGTCTCTTCGGCATGTCAGACCATAGAGGAAAGTGTATAGTAGCGAAAAGAAGTGTCCTCAAGTATGATATTTCCACTTATCTTTCTGCTGTTTTATCATCCACTTGACTTGTAGTTAAAAAGTGTTGCGATCAATATACAACGTTGTGCAACAGAAAAGTCAACCAACGAAGACCAAGTGGACCATGTAAACAGACAAACCAACCCACAATCTCGCACGCAAGTGCAATATTTAAGTCCTACTTCGTGTGTTAAGTGGTAAAATACGGGGAGAAATGTTGAGTTTAAGAGTAGTGTTAGTAAGTACGGAGAGGTTGTGAATCTGTATTTACTCTCGCGTGCTATGTGCGGCGTGGCAACTTTAACTGCTGCACACTTGTACTGAGTTCTATGAAGAAACTCAGGCATTGCCTTCCTTGACAGGTGATGTTGGCTACCAAGTAATTGGGTTCAAAAGTAATTAAGGGTAGCCAAATCAAAATATTTCATCAACCCATGAAGTCTGTGGCTTTTGGTTTGAGCTGTGTGTGAAGGTTTAGACTGTCTGCCTTATGTCATCGAGATGCCAAGAATCAATTGCTGGAGACTAGTGGTGACACGGCTCACAATCTTTCCCAATAGCACAGATGCATTCACTATTAATGAGCTCACAGATGCATTACACAATCATTATTCTTCCATGTACTGTTTTTTTCCTTTCATATATTTCTATCTGTGTACCTTATGAAGATTGGCAACTTGGATGGCTAACCTTTTTTTAAAGTTCTGCGTTTAAAATTCAGTTCGTTCATGCATGAGGACTCGTGACGCCACCTGGCTCTACAAATCTTAGTACGTAGAAAAATACGTGAGGTTGTGACCCAAGAGGTAAATGCGATGAATAGTCTAGTGAGTCATGGCGCCACCACAACAGATGAGACAAATTATGGCTGCATACGCACGACAGTAGGTTACAACTTGGTGACTACATTAATAGTTCGAATTGATCCATACCATAAAACATCGATCACTACCCATTATCATACCGAAGGAGGAGAGGTGATTTAACTTTGGCTTACCGTATATTAAAGGGTGATTTAGGGATGGACCTGTCAAACTTTTTTTTCTCCCTCTAGGATACATTTACGAGGTCATCACAAGAAGGTATTCAAACCGAGGTCGAATGAAATAAGTGTGGAATTTAGATTCTCTCAGTGTTCAACGACTGGAACTCCTTACCTGATACAGTAGTAACAGCTCCATCGGTGAACGCTTTCAAAGAGAAACTGATCTCTGTAGAAATATATAGCAAGGATCAACATAGGCAACAATAGACTTCCATCCTCATAATCTGAATCTGATCATATTGGCAATTTTATAGAATAAGCGTGACATTCATGGGGGATCAGATTGTCTACATTTTGAGCTAATTGCTCAACACTGATTCGTGGTTTGTCTCAGCTAAAGTTATAAGTGACTAAGGGAGAAGACTGACACATGTTTAAAAAGTATTATTTTCCCGAGGGTTCTGCGTATTTCAGCCTGTTACCTTCGTTAGAATCGGTATCACTGGTTTTGTAAGCGCAAGAGAATGAAACTTGAATACAAGCCGAACAAAACCATAGCATACGTTAGGCACGCGACGATGAAAATAGTGAGGAGGCATTCCAAGAAAAGCGTTCCTTCTTAATGCAGCAGAACTAACAGAATTCAGTCATGTGCTGGAAATGGAAGGATATTTCAATTATTGGGTAACACTAAGGGATATTATCACAACAGACATAAAAAGGGTGTGGAGGCAGTCAGTGTTTGGTATAGGGTTAGAAAGCGTTGAGTTCAAGGCAATTAGCCAACCAACTTGGGTGGGAACAACAAAAAGGCGAAGAGGAACATATTCACATCAGAGAGGTAAATGGGTAAAAACACACGAACTCCAACGGTTGGAAAGCAACTGCAATGAGAATAAAACCTGACTCATATCGCAGATGGGAAGGTGAATACAAAGCTGAAGTCAAACTCATAGCAATAACGGTATCGCTGATGTGTGACAGCAGTCTTTATTCATGATCACCATAGTACCACCTTAAAGTGTTCAAAAGATGACAACACATTAGCAAATATTACAGGGTGCACATATGAGAAAGCATATATGACATAATTACCAAAAGGGAAAAGCAGAGACACAAGTGCCTCAGTACGTTAACTCACAGTCCACACTCCCTCCAGAGTTTGAAGTACCCGCCAGTGAAAACAGAAAACTTAAAGTATGACAACAATAATTTGCATAACTTTAAAGATAAAAATTCTAAAACTTTGTAAGATAAATACTTTTATCTTTTGTTTTAGTTAGCCGCTAAAAATGAAAGGTATGTGCTACACATTCTGGTCGCGTAAAAGGATAAATGAGTATGTGAATTCGTTGCAAGTGGCTGGCACTTCTTGCAATTTTACTTATGCTAAATTCGCCAGGTAGAGCCCAGACTTCAGTAAGTTTGTCTACTGCTGTCGGCCTGTGCTTTGCCCAAAAACTTTGGGCTGCCATATCACATTAACTTCAAAAACATAAGTACCTAAGTCACGATTTTGAACCATTCCTCTCCAAATAAGTGAATTTTTGATTAATTCTAGTTTCTGCTTCATGTTTTTTGCCTGAAGGTATGCTACCATTCCAACTATGATTGAACTTTTTATGTAGAAATCACAGCGTGTATATACTCATAGCTGCTGTGTAAACAAGATTAAAGCAATTCAAACCTAACATGTCTCAGTATTTATTCCGATAAGTCCGTTATTTTCATCTAATATGTCCGGGAGTGTGCTTATATTTTGCTGCTTCAGGCACCCTCTACGTGTTTTATGGAGTCTCCCGTCTTCTAAATCACAACTAGGCCTTTTGGGTACAGAATTCCAGTCCTACTTACGTGGAACGTAATAAATTTATCTTTACTGATATATTTCATTCCCTGGTGAAGTCTTTACATATAATATATTTGAACACATGCCACGCTATGATCAGGATGACTACAGATTCAAATTTTTCTGAGTATAAAGTAATGCCTTTTCATTGCTCATGCGAATGCCCATGCTAAGGATGATCAGCGTCATGTGATAGTGGTCTCCATAACATCCCCTCTATTCGACCCTAATGTGCAACTATCGATATCGAATGGATAATTATTAATTCTCCGAATATGTACATGTTCTAATTCACTTCGAATGCCACGCAATGTCTTTTCAGATTTGGGTGAATGGATTGAATTTTTTGAGGCTGCTGGTGTTCCACCCAAAGTTCGAGAGACTTATGCTGCCATTTTTGTTGAACACCGTATTAACCATACAGTGCTAGCTGATCTTGACAAAGATCATCTTAAAGACATGGGGATCACAGTTATTGGTGATATAATCTCTATACTGAAACAGTGTAAGAAAATGAGGCATGAAGTAAGTTTTTTTGTGACCCAATTATTTAGCATAGGTGTCAGTTGCACCGGTACCTGTTGTCACTTCAACCACATCTAAAGATTCTTCATCTGAAGATAAAAAGCCACTGCCCAAAGGTATGCGATCAGACTTTACTTAGTAAAGTTTTAGATGTTATTTCTGTGGTCCCAGCGCGACGTCGAATGGATCCTAAAATTGAGGGTAAATATATTGTCAAGATGCCAAAAGGAACAACACCAAAAACACAGAAGATTCTTGCATCCATCAAACAGAAAAGTGAGTTAATGCGTCTAGCTATTATATTTTTTGAACATCAGTTACGTATTGTCTCTGAGCTCCATTTTGCACGGAAAATATCTTTTAAAAAAATGTCATTTGGTCCCAATGAGGTCGTGAGTGTAGCTGGTTGGGGTCTTCGAGACTTTAAGAACCAACGGCTTGAGACTATTTTTAATATGTTTTTATAGAGTCTTTCTCAATAGTGCAGATACATTCTCTGCTTTTAATCTCCCAGATCTGTTAGGTCTTCGTGTTTTCCATGTTACTTTCCTTCCTCATCCACATTACTGCTCATAACAGTCCTTTTGAATTTTTTGTTCTATCTCTACCTTTGTGGGCTACATGGAATGCAGCAACTTAAACTGCTGTACTTCTGTGTTAAATTCCATTTTGAAATTCAATTAGTCAGTAGCTGTCGAGTCCTGAATGTGTTGATCGAGATCTATCACGTATACATTAGAGACACAGACCGCTTAACGTCATTCTAAGTGGAGCAATACATTCAGTAATAGTTGGATTAGACCTAATGTTAGTTAGAATGAGAAAATCAGTTGATCAGGTTGTGAATCTCCATCGACTGAGGTGGTTAAGACATGTGTTATGCCTACAATGCCACTGCCTTAATCAATGAGTAGTGTTAGTTAAAGGTGGATTAAGTTGATAAAGAGTTTAAAGTTGAGCAAAAAGGTAATTCCAATTCATGAAGTTCTCGACTTGTGGTTTGAACCATGGGAAGGTGTAGACTGGCTGGTTGAGGTTCTTGCGATGCTAAGAATTAATAGTTGAGGACTGTTGATACCATGACCCAGAATCCATTACAATGGCACTCCTTGTTATCGTCCAAATCCTGAAACTTTTAACTGATTCCCATCCAGTTATTCTTTCCTGTATATCTTCGTTTTTTGTACTTCTATTACATGTCTTTTCTCTACTTTTGTATATACTTTTATGGAGTGTGCCAGGTTAAAGTATTGCACTTTTATGTGAAGTTTTACATTGTCAAGTTGTCCTTAGTTAAATAGTTTAAAAAAATTATCATTGCAGAATTGACTTTACAGTTCATAAGTGATTTTTCATTAAAAAAAGAATGTGGTTACGTGGGTGGATGGTATCTCTCTTGTATATCATAGCTATATGCCAATAACCTTAAACCCGTTAGTAGTCAGTGTTTTTTTTATCATGAATATGGAAAATACTGTATATAAGATTATAAAAGTATCTACATTTGGTCAATTATATGCACATAAGTGATGTTGATCCATTTGCGCAGTTTTAATTTCCATACAAATGAAAGATGTTGGTTGTTGAGTGTTCATAGTTTGAGGTTGCCTGTGGGAACCTAAAAATGGAACTGTTATGTGTGTAGGTGTTTTACAAATATTCAAAACTATTTTCGCAACACCATTTACTTTCTTCTTCAACATCATCCCAAGTCTAAATGTTGTTAAAGCGGAAAGCAAGTAGTGTTGCAAAAATAGTTCTGACTTTTTGTTAAAAAGTTGTTATCTGAAGTGATGAAAACCAGTGGTATCTGTCAGGGGTGGCCGCTATTTCCATTTTTGTTTAATTTCATTGCAAATGTACTAATGAATTTAACCCTAACTAACTTCATAGACTCAGGGATTGACTTGTTACCAGGGTTTAATAGATGATATAGTCCTCCCAGATGAAAATGGTGACAAAATGCAGAGTCTTTTGAACACCTTAAACATCAGTCTTCGAATGTTTGGCATGTGGTCTGATCCTGTCGAAGGTAAGATGAGGCTACAAGCCTGGACTACGTCGACTTCTAGCTTGAAGATAAGGAATGAAGTAGTTGAATGTGTTGCCCACTTCACTTATTTGGGAATTTGCATCAGCTAATTGCTCACTAAATTTCAGCGCGGATGTAAAAAGCTCACGTGGCATTTGCCAACTTACACCGTCTGTGGCACAGACGTGATATCCGGTTATAGATCTTATACCATAGATGTCTGCCTTCTATCTCCACTGTTAGGCGCTATGATAAGGTGAGTAATATTTTGGCTAGGTATTGAGTGTTAGGTAAGGAGGGAAAGTCAATCAATGAAGTTGTGAAACTACGTCGATTGAGTTGGCTAGGACATGTGTTACGCATGCCTAGCCATTGTCCGCCTCGACGAGGAATGCTTGCTTACTTAGAATCGTGTCTGAAATGGGCTAATGGTGGGCAAATCAAAGTTCAGAATCAGTCAATGAAGTCGTCGACAGTTACTTAGAGCCACATAGGTAGGTGTAGACTACCTTGTTGGAGTCCTCGGGATTCTAAGAACCAACAGCTGGAGACAACTGGTGATGTGGCTCAAAAGCGTTCTCATCGGAGCAGATATATTTGTTCTTTGCTATTTCCCATATTCTTTCTCTCTCACATTCTGCTTATCATGGAGTGTGGTAACTCAAGCTGCTCCACTTCTGTGCAAAGTTCTCTGTCACAAACTCTAAATTAGCATTAAAAAGGGACCTATAATCATGGACCTTATTACCTTTTTTGTGGTCTTGCAATGATGCTGTGGTTTTAGTTATTTAGAGTTTAGCATTTTGAAAGACCCAGCCTAATGAGATTTTTTCAACCATTTTCTAGAAAACTTTGAAAAGTAATGATTTTATCTTTATCATTATAGCTAGCATACGACTCACTACAAAATTACTACACAGACAAGTTCCGGTTTCCTTGGTGATATCCACAGTTAGTTTAGGTTAGTGTTGATACATCGAATGATTGGAGTGAATAATCTATGAGCACCTTGACGACAAATGTTCTACACTATCTTTTATTTGAACTTTGATATGTACATCACTTAGTTAGTAGACATAAGATCAAAGAACAAGCAAATACACCTTGCTGATACTGTTGTGCAAAGTGGAATAGACTTACATGTTTAAGTTGAAATATGCTTTTGAAGCTAACTCTTACTTTCAGATGTTATCGGTGTATTTTTTGTTTACCCTTCTAGCAGCTATGAAGTCTAGTCAACAACAACAGCAGCAACAACAACAACAAAAAACTGATAAACCTTCTAAAACTACTGAATCTCCAGTCTCATCCACTTTTGGCGATAGTGACGCTGATGATTCTGATAATTATCGTGTGATTATCTCTAAGTAAGTGACTCTTATTTTTATTTATTATCTTTCTGGTTATTTGCCTTCTGCGTTGAATCGCAGTTAAAAAACTGCGACACTGCTCTAACCCTATTAAACCCGTATCTGTTCATTTGTGTTATACAAAGGCAAGGCACTATTGATTTTATGGATATTAGTTGTAGGTCATTAGAATTTACTTTCGGTGGCATTTATCAATGCCAATATATATATATATATATATATATATATATATATATATATATATAGTATTCAATCTCTGAATCTGAATTGTATTCTATTATTGTCAGTATTTATGTTCCACTCTTTATTCTCTTCTTTGTTTTCAAATTTATACGATCACCTAGTAGGTTAAATGATTGAATTTGATGCTTAAGACACTATTATGCTCCAGTCAATAAGTAGTTTGAACTTCTCCTAAAAAGTACAATTTA